TTTTATATTAGACTCTAATTTCTTCAAATGGCATTTTGAAAAGCAAAGACCTCATTAAGAAAAGGCATTAAGACTGAAATGCCTTCCCACCCACTCACCCACAAGCTGTAGGTTTGTGGACCTCCCCATACGGTAGGTTTGACAAGTAGGTGTCTAAGAGCCAAACCAAAGGGGACCTCAGACTCCTGTGTTCCTCTAAACAGGTCCCACAAAGCTGGAAGAAGCCACCCCCTGCAAACTGCTTTTCTCTCAGTCCTCTCATGCCTTCCAGACACACTGCCATCAGCCAGTTCCCCACCCTGTACAAACATGCAGGGACACAGGTGAAAGGATCACCAGACCCCTCAGCAGATGAGAGAAAGTGAAAGCATTGTACACCCAAGAAGAAGCCACTGTCTTCTGAGCCAACCCTGGCTGCAGGCTTGCAGGGTACCTGCAGAGGAAAAGGTGAGTGCTCCAAGTCACCCAGAGTTAGGAGCTCCTGTGAGTGCATGCACCACATCCAGCAAGCATGCTGTCCTCCCACTGCCCCCCAAACACTGAGCTTCTCAGGCCCGCTCCTGGTTCAAGCCCCACTGCTGCCTCTCTGGCATCCCCAAAGCTACTGGCTCCCCACCAACCAGGCTGCTGAGTCTAGACAGTTCCCTGTGGCCTCCGCCAGCACCAGTTTCCTTTCAGAGGCACTGAGGGTGCAGACGGGCAAAGGGGCAAGGGCTTGTCTGCCTTGGTTTTTTTCCACTAAAAATCTGATCTCAGAGTGCTTAGCCTGCACAGAACCCTCCAGGTCTAAAACCCAGGAATTCCCATTCCAGTGGGTCCTGACCCCAAATTCTGACTGAAATTCAGTAGCAACAGCTACAAGTTTTAAGTATGTCTGTTAAATACTGGGAGCTAGCTGAATGTTTTCGATGCCATCACATTTTATCTCAAAATAACCTAAGCATTGTGACTATACTATCCCCATTTATAAGGAAACTAAGGTTCAGAGAGGTGAAGTGATAGTCCCATGGTCACACAGCCTGAGCCTAACCACAAAGTCTGTGTCCCTTAACACTATGCAGTGCTGCTCTCCTGAGGGACCAGAGTCCCCATGGGAACCTTTGCTCACACAGGAGGGAAAGAGGATTGGGTAATATCACCATTATCTTATAAATAAATGTTATAAATGTCCTCATTTTGAGAACTCCCATCAGAAGAAAAGTGGCTTGCCCAAGATAACGTAATGGCTGGGTCAGGAATAATCTAGGGGTTTGGAGGCGTCTGTTCCCGCTGTACCATGCTAGGCTTGCTAATTTCCCTGGCCTTGGAAGGCAATGCAAAGACCTTGTTCTGTTTTGTTCACATAATAATTGTTTTGTCCTTCCACTGTTGAAGGTCTTTCTCCTCTTCCCTGGTTAGCTATAGCCTGAGTGATAATTCTAAACAAGTGAGTTAATTTTTAGTCTTGGCATGAAAGAGCAGGGTAATGGACAAGAACAGAGAAACAACAAATCCCTCCCGCAAAGAAACTCACTCAGAACACACCACAGGAAAAAAATTAAAAGAACACCACAATTGAGCTGAGTGTAGCGGTACATGCCTGTAATACCAACACTCAGGAGGCTGAGGAGGGAGGACCACGAGTTTGAGGTCAGCCTGAGCTATATAGTGAATCCCTATCTCAAAAATAAATAAATAAATAAAATTTAAAATGCTACAACTTTCAAATATCTTCATTAGATGGTTACAATATTTGCAGATTTTTTTCTATAATTTATACAAAGAAATCAAAAGAAGAAATAATACTCCATTTACCATGTTCATAACTCAAAAGGGCAAATCTTAACCAGGAAATAATTATATTTTAACTCCCAACCATGGGAGACATGAATTCTCAAGCACACAGACTTTGCCAAAAGTCACACACCTAGAAGAGGACCTAGGAGGGACTCTCAGTGCAAGTGACAATGAAAATGTGCCCAGACACCTATTACCTCTGTGGAGAGGGCTCTGCCTACACTGCTTGCCAGCCAGTACCCAAGGACTTGCCGTGGTCTTCCAGTACTCAGTGGTGGTGCTTCATCTGGGGGGTAACAGGGTGACCTAGAAATGCCAGAATACCATGCTGGCATGTCTCCTGCAACTTAGGCCAGGGACAGATAGGCCCCTCATCAGGAGATCAGCAGAGGTGGCTCTTCACACTCTTCTGTACAAGAAGAAGGCACCACCCTGAGTATGTGCCAAAGGATAGGTCACTAGGAATGAAGATTATGCCAAAGACACAGAAACCTACTCTGGTATGGGGATATGGGTAAGCTACCCAACATCTCTTGGGCCACCTTCTTTTTGCAGTTTCTCATGCCTTAATCCCCTTCCCCTTCTCATGATGCTATAACTCACATAGCCAGCATCTCTTGCTATTAGGGAAAATCAATGGGATTAAGGTTTGTGTTACACTTTTTGTTGTGTGACCAATATCTGAGAAAAACAACTTCAGGGATGGAAAGATTTCTTGGTTCATGGTTTCAGAGGTCTCAGTATATCATGGTGGGGAGGCTGTGGCAGAGCAAAGCAGCTGACATCATGGCAAGCAGAGAGAGAAAGTGCCTATACTTGTGGGATTCCTCTTTCTTCCCCTTCTAGTCCATCCAGGCCCCCAGCTTGTGGGATGGTGTGCCCCACATTCAGGTAAGACTTCCGCTCTCACTCAATCCTCTCTAGAAACACCTTCATAGACACACCAAGAAGTGTGTATTACTAATCTCCTAGGTGTCTCTGAACTCAATCAAGTTGACAGTAAAGATTGATTGCCACAAGGCTCCACCTATTGGATGGACTATGGCCAGGGGAGGACTCAGAATGAGAAAGAAAGCAACAGGACCTTTCCTGGAAAGCATGCTGCATGATCTCCTGGTTCTTTAGGAGCAGCTGTGGAGGGACACATAGCATCTTGACATTGGTGTCACCAGCGGAACATAGTGTCAATGATGGATGATGGTGGTGAAAATGTCTTCCCTGGAGTCACCATGTACTGTGCCTGTGTGTTGCTGTTACTGAAGGTGGTGTGTTAGGCCAGGACTGATGGCCTTGCGTGAACCAACTTCATGTTACCAAAGTTGCAAATGTACATACTGCAGAGAATCTGAAGTGCCTGTGTCCAGAAGCTCCTAGGAAGACAAAGGGGTATGGACTTGACAATCAGTCACATCTGTTACAAACCTGGCTCTCCATCTACTACTGGCTCTGTCTTTCTGTACTTCTAATTTAACTCCTGAACTTCAGTTGTATCAAATGAAAAATGGAGATTGTATCACTCATAAAAATTAACTACTAAACAAAGATACTATAAAAAAGGTACCCAGTACAGTGCTTTGCATAGTAGATGCTCCACAAGTGTTATTTACCTCTTTACCCTTTATTCTTATATTGTTCCCCAACATATTAGTACTATATTTCTTCAGCTGCCATCTCCAAATCATTCAAGGTTTGGTAAGATACAAAAACAAACAAACAAACAAAGAAACAAAACAAACAGGACAAAGTCCTCAAGCCTAACCCCAGTGAAGACATTTTTCAAGTTGACAGTGATCTACTCACAACATTCCTGAAGTCTGTTTGGCCAATGAGTCAGGAAATCATGCAATTAGACTATCATCCAATCAGCATTCTGACATCTCATATAAAGGGAAGTCATTTTGTGCTACATATATATCAGTAAAATTTCCCCAAAATCTGTTAGTCTGATAATGTACTTTTTAATGATGATGAGTAGAATCTGGTGACTTGAGAGTCCCCCTTGTGTGTGCATGTGTGTGCAGTCTATAGTGCTCCTGGGCCTTTTCCCACACACTATCTGTGTCCTAATTCCACTATGGAGACAAGAGGAGTGTCCTCAGAGAACCATGCTCAATTCTACCAAGGCTCTTGATCTTCTTGGTGCTCATGTCTTTTGTGAATCCATTCTGGGATTGTGTCATTCACCTGACCGCCAATATCCATAAATGCACATTAAGTGCTGAGAAAATGCTACATGCTGAACATTCAGATAGACACAGTTCTGACTTTGTGGAGTTTTAGCACAAGAGATAAGGGATAATTAGAGGAGCAATGACCATAAATTGTGAAAAACTGAAACAGAGAAAACCCAGGAAGCCATCAGGACACACTGGAGGCAGAGAGCTACATGAAACTAACACTAACAGGTTTCAACTTTTCCCCATTATTTGAGCTATTCATAAAAAAAAAAAAAAAAAAGTACCCTCAAATAGTAGTCACCTGAAGGTATTTTTAACTTGGGCAAGGTAGAGTCAAACAATTTAAGGACCCCTAAACACCAGATTAAGACATCTGAACATTATGTGGGAAACACCAGAGAGCCTCAGAAGGTCTCTAAGGAGTACGTTATTATATCAGAGATAGCTATGGTTCAAGATGGATGAACAGCAGAAAGGGAGACAGGGACACCATCTTCTAGAAGGTTACTTCATTCTAATAAATACAGGAATGACTGATTGTATGAGTAAATTCCGACAGAGATTCACCTTCTGTACATATCTCTGATTTTTTATGAGTATTGTTCTATTCCAGCTCTTAGTGATCAGAAATAATAAGCAAAATAGATTTAGATAACTTGATGTTAATTAACACGATAACTATTTTCTCTACCATAATGAATTTAAAAGATGACACAGTATCTACTAGAGCATTGCCAAAAGAATTGAATATCCAGTAAATTACTGAAAACAATACTTGAAATGGTTGTCAATCCACTAAAACCTGGAAATGTTGATTTAACTGATATTTAGATTTGAAATTACTTAGAAGGAAAATACTATGTGTTTGATTAAACTATAGCCAGAAAAAAATTTAAGGCAGGCTACCCCAAGAAGCTTTGTCAAGAAAAGCTCCTCAAAATGGAAAAAGCTTGGCCTCACCCTTCTTGTTTGATTATGAGTGAAGGTCAAAGACGTGATATTCTGAGGTCAATGGTGCCTAGCGGCAGGGACAATGGTTGCTCTTACCCAGCGTCCTCCTGGAAGCCTTCCAATTCATCCCGCTGTTCTGCCAGCGTGGCCTCCAGGTCCAGGTAGGTGCCATTGTGGGAGAGCTGCAGTGCACAGTCATCCAGCTGCAAGGGAAAGAGCACATTAAGCCCAGCCTGTTCCTGGAAGGGGGGCTTCATATGGAGAAATCAGCTTATGTTGCTCTTACATGATTTTAAAGAACAAGCGTGATTCTGAGCTGTGACTCACAAGAGGGAATACATTTGTGCAAACAGACAGGAACAAGTGGACAGGGAAGACACCTGATCAAGGACCAGCATTGCCAGGTCCTTGTGGATGGAGCAGGAGAAGCTGCCCTCTGGACAAGGGGCAGTGTCACTTTGCACTGAGTCTAGAGGAAGCTGTGGATTTGGGGTGTGGGGACCAAGACATGATGCTGGTGTGACTGTGGATTAAGGGTCATGGAGTTTAAGGGGCAAGTTTGGTGGGAAAAACATACTGTGTATTTTACTCAATGAGAAGTCCTCTCGTTCAGAGTCTATGGTCACATTTGGCCCATTACAAATAATAGTTGTACAATAAACATTTTTTGCAATTGAATTGAAAGAAACATTATCCGTCTGAATGGCAACCTATCCAAATCACAACACCCCAAAGAGGAAATTAGATCTTTCTGTTGCTAGTCTTTTTTTTTAATTATTATTTAACCAACATGTTAATTATCTTCTCAACATACAGAGTTAAGATGTCATTTGATTCTCACATGAACTCTATGTTCTATTGTTAACCTATTTTTTAGATAAGAAAACTAAAGCTGGAGAGAAACTAAGTTACTTGCCCAATATCACCGTCTGGCAAGTGGTAGAGCTGGAATTTGATAGCAGCAGTTTGATTCAAGGCCATACTCTCAGCCACTACACTCTGTGCCCTCTACAGACCAAGACCCACAAGGAACTTGAAAACATACTATGCTTGCAAAAGGCAGCTTGTATCATCTGAGTGTTCTGGTGTGGCCAAGGCCAGGCCCTTTGCCTCCTAGGCACACAGGCCAGACTTATAGCTGGGCTTGACCACATAACCTAGTATCACCCAACAGAACATGGGTGAAGTGAAGAAAGCCCCCAAAAGGCTTGGCTATACAATCCCACCCAACTGTCCATCTTTTTTCTCCTGCCTGCAGCCAGATGCAGAGGAGCAAGAGGAAGACACCAACCCTTCCAAAACAGCAGAGCCCCAGCTCTTCCCAGCTAAAGGAGTTTGGGTTCCTGAATCACTGCATGGAAGAGAGTGATTTGCTTCCAACCCTCCTCTGACCAGTCCTAGACTGTGATAAGATCAAGAAAGGAGCTTTACTAAGGGAACTCATTAAGATTCTGAGTTTGCTGCCACATTTAGAATGATTACAATTAAAAATTCAGGAAAATACTCTTGCCTAAAAAGATTGTGATCAACACTATGAGGAAATACAAATGCATAACTTCATGTTTCATTCCTAGTTGGGGAGTTCACACTCTCATACCAAAATGACAGGAGATTGGGGAAAAGTGAAGACAAATATGCGGCTACTTTAAAATATCTAAATAAATGCTTGATAATCCACTTCAATGATGAGAAAGCTTTGCTTAGTGTCTTCGACAACAGAAATCTAGACTGTAACCTCATTCAGAGTTGATAACTATGCAGGCCATTATTCTTGTTAGAGACCCCCATGCTTCCTTGATTCTGAAGAGCAGAATGAAAGGAATTTGTCTTTTATTATTTGGGGGAAACACTAAATCATTTGAAGGGTTAAATCATTTGAAGAGTTAACCCTATTTTGTCTTCTTTCTCTAATAACAAACGAAAGGTAAGCTGGTGACGTTCAGCCTTCTTGAGTGGTACTTCATAGATGAGTTATTTGACCCGAGAAGGCAACATAATGTAAATGCCAGAATCAAATGGACCAAACTTACTTTATTGTGATGTCAGAAGTGAATCCAGGAGCTTGGGGAAAGGCACAGGGGAGATGCCTCCCCTTGTCTACAGAAGTACAAACAGGAAGAGTTTCCTGCCAAGAGTCTCCTGTGCACTGAAATCAGACTTTATCATCCCTAGGTGGAAAATTCCATTGGAAACTGGACCTAGTAACATGCACACTGGACCATGAGAAGAGTTGTAATCATTGGCAGCTCATTCTTGTTTTTAACTTCTACTGCTGGTGTTAACTAACAAAGCTTGCTTGGAGAGTTTTGTTGGTAGTATCAACACTTTTGTGTATGTTTAATCCACAGGTAATCAGCAGACTAGAAGATGGTATGATGAAAGCCCTTTAACCTGTAATGATCTCTTTTTTCTCAGCCCCAGGAAACGTCAGCCAGAGAAAGAAGGTTTTAGTTCAAGAGTCTCTGCTTCTCCTCAAAGGAGTTTGAGTCACTCTAAGGCTGTAGTGCACACTTAGCCTAGGGAGAGAACAAGCAGTGAGAGCAAGTATTGCTCTGGCGCAATGGGAGGCAGAACCTGCCCATGGGTGTATGTAAATGCTCCCTCCATGGAGAAGTCACTGACTCACAATGGCTCACTAAGACGTATTGTTTCTCCCATCCCAACACAAGCAATGTTTCCAATCTCACAGGCAGAGGAAGCAATGAGATGATTAGGAACTGATGTGTTTTGAATATGCATTACCTTGGTTTTTAATATAAATTTAATTGCAAGTTGCTATAATTTAATTTCAACAATGCTATGTTTGACAACTGACTCACAAAATTCCTGAGGATTTCACAGTTGGTGCTTAGGAGCCCACTTGGCCAGAGACAGCACATGTAGCTCCTGGTTCTCCCTGATCACTTGGTTAAAGTGCCTATAATGGAGACAGAGCGAAGAGAGCCAGATGAACGTGTACGTCTTAGTCCCTCGGGAAGCACGTGCAGGGTCCTCACAGAAACCTCAGCTTAGGGCCCCTGCCATCAACACCTAAGCCTGTACCTTCCCCTCAGAGCGGGTAGAGGCAGGGGGATGCTGATGATCATGGATGGGGTCCCATCCTTATTGGCACCACAGCCTTTTGTGCACATTACCTCCATCACACACCTTCTTCTTTTATTCCCAGCAGCCCAACATGAATATGCTGTCTTCTGGCATATTCCCGCTGGGCATCTGCCCCAACGTGCTCTGGGCCAGACCCAAATCACAACAGGAAACCCCACAATCTTTCCAGCCTCCAACAACAAGATCTTCAGCTCTTACCCTAACTGCTCATTCTCACCATTCCTCTTCTCAAATTCCAGGGGTCATCAGCTACCACCATTTCCACAGCTCCATCCTCACAAAATTATATGTCAGAAACAGGCAAAGCACCAAGTAGCACATAAATGCCTCCTTTCCTCAATGAGATGGTCTCATTGAGTAAGCAGGACATGTGCACAGAACACAGAATAGAACAAGGGGCCATTTAAATAACCTGTCAAATGCAGATATTCTTCCTCAGTTACATTCCTGCTACTGTCACTAGCAGAGTCATAAGCATCCTCCATAAAACTGCCCAAGTCCCCTTCCTGGAAAAAGTCTACTATTACTTTCTAAGACGAATGTCACCACAGTGATCCCCTAAATGATGGGTGGGCAAACCCCTCCCACAATGGCGTATGTGCTAGTGAGGCCCTAAACTGAAAAAGGATGAATATGTGTATCTTAGTCCCTCGGGAAGCATGTGTGGGGGTCCTCACAGAAGGGTCATGGGAAGAACAGCAAATGGGTATCTGCTGCCCTTAGGAAAAGGGGATGTGTGGCAAAAGGGGGATTCTAACTGCACGCTCCCCGTCATTGCACCTGAGACACGTGAGATTAATATTTAAGTCATCACATGAGCCAAGGAGCAAGAAAAATGGGCTTCTTGACTGGACTGACACAATGAAACCATAAAATCCCCCCAAATATGTGTAGGTGGGGAGAGTCAGCTCCAGGTATCATTTTCATAACCAAATTGATAGTATCCTAAATGATTTCTTCAACCTTGTCCATAATAATTAAGTAGCAGTTATAAACTTCCAAAATAAATGTCAATGTGAATAGGAAGTAAGGCAAGGTTAATTACAATCTGATTTATTATAAAGATTTAAACAGAAATATCCAAAGTTTCCCACACAGCGAAGAACTCAGACCCCTCCCCGCCAGCCCAGTCCCTGACCTCAATTCCTGCTTACAGCAAGGCAACCTGATCCCCTCCCTTGGCCGCACATGTCCAATGTCTTCCCGGATGACTTAAGGGCCCTGGAATTTCCTGACTCCAACAATTTTCATGTCAACCCTGATCCCCTGGCAGCATGTCCCTTGCACTGGTTTGGTGGCCAGGATGTTGTCAGGCACTTCAGGACATAAGACAAAATGGGAAGCCATGTGGGAAGATGGCATTACAGGGGTATTATAGAAGGATGGCGATTAGAGGATTTAGGGGCAGTGACGGTACCACAGCAGGGAGACTCCAGATCAGGTTACAGGCGGTCAAACTGTGGCCAGGAATCTGGTGGGGAGGAGGGGAGGGAGAACTCAAGAAGGAGTCAGTCTCAAATCCTTCAGAGGGTCCTTTCTGATACCCTAAAGCTGTGCCTCTCCCCACAGGGTCAAACACAACATTTAAATGGGCCCTCATGCTCTGGAGACAGAGAAAGAGCCCTGCAATTCGTAAAGAGGCAGCACAAGATCACTCTGGGGTTCTTTTGTCTGCTCCTACAGAGACTTTGCAGTCAAAAAGAAAGGTCAGGCTCACCATCCCAGAAAAAAACTCAAACATCTAAAACAAAGCTGATGTCATGTCTTTCCCTTCCTTAAGCCAGTGAAGTGGTATGTTACTGGGATGGTTTAATAATTATCCAGATTCTGGCAGGTCTACAGCACTCCTGGACTAGGCAATAAAATTTCTGCGTAACCCTGAAATAGATTTGCGCAGAACCATTCTATAAATACACACTGAGGCTACCCTTTAAACTAATTTTGGTAGTAGTTCAGAAGTGGGAAAAAAATCAACTGACATTAAAAAGAAAAAATAAGTCAAGAAAAAGCTCAAATGAATGTCACTTACTTGTGTCCTTTGATTCACTCCCCTGTTCCTGCATCTACCTCCTCCCAAGATGATTTTGCAGCTCCTTTC